TCTTTTTAGATGATGAAGTCACCCTGATAACAAAGTTCGACCATAATGCATTAAAAAATGATAATACTCTAATGGCCAATATTCTTAGTGAACATAAACAAAAATATTCAACTAAGTGCTCATCAGCTAAATTCACCAGCACATGCAAAAGTTAAACACCACAATAAACACTGGGTTCACTCTCAGTGGTACTAGAATGGTTCCACTTGCACAAATCATTCAGTGTCACTTGCCACATTCACAGCATGAGGTACAGCTGACCCCTCAAGAGATTTGGAAAAATCAAAAGAGATTTTGAGAAATTCAAAAGCTCACCATCCTTTCATGATAGGAACCATTCTCCTACACCATGTGTAGGAGGAATGAATCTCAACACAGCAAAGAGCATAAATGACAAGCTCATCCCTGACATCCTGCTCAGAGGCTGACAAGCTGTAAGCTTTGCTTCTTGGGTCCTCTCCTCCCCTCTCCTCTCCTTTCTTCCTCTCCCTTCCTTTCCTCCCTCCCCTCTGCTTTACTTCACTTCCCTTTTGTTTAGTTTTTTTTCTTTTTCTATTTCATTTTTGGTCAAGGTCTTCCTGTGTATCTCTGGCTTGAGCTGAACTCAGAGTGTGTTGCAGGCTTGTCTGGAACTCCCAAGAATCCTGCTGCCTCAGCCTCCTGAGTGCAGGCTTTGCAGGCATTTTCACCACTCCTTGCTCAGCCAATGAGTTTTTAACAACACTATGATGAAACCAGGTCTGGTGGTGTGCTTGTAATGCCAGTGGTCTGGAAGGCTGAGGCAGCAACATCAGAAATTTAAGGACAGCCTCAGCAATGCAGCCACTTATCAAGAAACTGGAAGAAAATAATAAGAATTTTAAATGTGGAAAGTCATGGAGCTAAGTGCAGACCTCAGTATTCAATCCAGAGAAACTGAATGCAAAACAAAAAAAACTTGGAAAGTCTGACAGTAGATAAAATAATATTTTACACTGTCCTGGGCTTCTGGAGGGCAGTGTGCCCCAAGTAGCTTTAGCTTTCACACCTTCCTTGGGTTTTGACTTGAACCAACCATCAAAATCCATGAGGGATTAAAAAAAAAAAAAAAAAAAAAAAAAAAAAAAAAAAAAACAGAATGTGCTTCAAGGACACCAAGCCTCAGTCCCAGTGCAGAAGGCATTTGCAGTGATATTCTGAAGTGCATGATGACCATAGTTACAAAGCAGAGAATCTACCAAAAGTGTTAATGAGATTATCAGTCCTACTCACTGTGAAAGAAACTGCCAGTCAGGTAGGTGGTAGATAGGTTAACTAGATCCACTCTTTCTGCAAAGTGTCTAAAGATCAAAGCCAATTATTTCACTCTATGAATGCACAAAATTACTGCTGATTACTGACTCAGGATAATGAACACCTGCAATTCTAGCACTCTGGGAGGGGGGTGGAGATTGAATAAGGAAAGTTTTAAGCCTAACCTGGGAAACTCACAATCTTAGTGAGATCATGCTTTAAATTCTATAAAAATGTTAACAAATGTTACTAATGTATGAAAATATAGTTCATTAAGAAATCCAAGAAATCATTGTGCACAACACATTAGATAATATTATTCTTTTATTCTTATTCTGTATAATTTTTTATCCTTTTATAGACTTAAAAATAGCATCTTTGATGTGGTCCTTAATAATACATACTTGAGTTACATTAAAATAAGACAAGAAAGATTTTTAAAAAACAGTAATGTAACCCTTTTCTCAAATCCTACTTTTGTATATAAATTTAGTACAAAAATAAGAAGAACCATTAAATTCTCTTCATACCAAGCTCTCCAAATCCTAAGAAGGTATATTCAGTAACATATCTGTATTCATCTCATATAAAAGGTCAAAAAATTGAAACAGTTCAACTTCTTGGCAGTAGATCAATGTCTACTTGATGGTAAACCTAATACTCGTTGTGCTGACTAAAGTACATATGTAAGAAAAATTCACAAAGATTAGATTTGTCCATTTATTGATGATTTTTGTCTCTTTTTAAACCTTTTTAAATGTATTTTTATTTTGATTGATTTATTTATTTTTGAGACAGGGTTTTGCTATGAAGTTCAAACTGCCTTGAACTCACGTTGTAGCCCAGGCTGACCTCAACTCACAGCAATCTTGCTGCCTCAGCCTTGTAACTTCTGGCATTAGAGACTTTTACTACCAAACCTGGCTCTCATTTGCTTTTTAAATTTTCTCCAAAATACAATTATCCAGAATTATGTGATATTCTCATATTTTATCATGTGAGTTACACAAAATGAAATCAGAAAGCACTGAAAATACACTGAAGGAGATTCAAAGTCCTCATGAACACAAAACATAGTGTAACATAACATAACATAACATAACATAACATAATATAGTATAGTATAAAAGAACACAACAAAACAAAGCAAAACAAAATAAGACAACAGGGATGGAGGTTTAATTCTGCAGTATAAGTGCCCACTCGGCAAACATGAGGTCCTAAATTCAATCCCCAATACAAAAGAGCAAACAACCACCTAACTCTGATTATTAAAAATGCTTCCAATGGTACCTTAACAGTTTGCAAGTTAACCATACACAAGCCAAATAATCTGGCAATTTCACATCTAAGTATTTTTCTTTGAAATAAAAGTCCACTCAAGACCACGTATAAGAAGATCTGTGGCAGCTGGCATTCAAGGGCCAACCTGGAAACAGAACAAATGGGATCAGCAGATGGGTGAGAGATGCATGAACAAGTCACACTGTTTGGTTCAGCCACATGAGAGTGTGTGGTAGCACCAACACCAATAAGGAGCAGCACAGGGGAAGCCCATCACAGAGATGCTGCTTGAAGGAGACCAACCAAGAGCATCTAAACTAAACAGGCTCAGTGCCATCACCTCTAGGAAAGGCAAACTACCCAGCAGGGACACAAAGCCCATGGTCTGTTTGGGATGGGAGGACAGGAAGTGAAAGCAGTGGCTAGGAGACAAGTTCCCCAGTGCTGATGCCCATGTGTCCTTCATCATCATGAGGTGATGATGTCCACAGCCTTGCAAAGCCTCCCCTTGCACTCACCACCTGATTTCCCTTCTCACATGATGTCAGAGTACAGAGCACTATAGTGTGTGGCTGAGGAAAACATCTAAGGATGAAAAGTGATCATTCATAGGCACATGAGAGGAATTCATAGGCACTATGAATCCTCCTCCCCTGGACACATGGGTCTTACAACATGAAACATTTCATATCCTTCAAGGAAAATTATAATGGGTCTTCTGGGAACATCTCTATGCTCCTTAATGAAACTGAAATGAAACTAACATAAGCCCAGAAAAGACAATCAAAATAAAATTTGTGAAATCTCTCAGTGATGACACTGTGCACCTCATCTTCAAGGGAAAGGATCTTTTGGATGGAAAAGTGTGTTTGGCACCCTGCCTGCCACTTTTAAAGCATCTACATGTTTATTGCATTAAAATCTTCAAAGTGCAGAAAAGTCTAAAAACACACATATTTTTCTAGTTTTTTAACTTGCTCTTTATAAGGAGGACAAATATGAGCTCACAATAAAAACAAAGGAGGCATCAGACGGGGAATATCAACTGTGTACCGCAGCACATGAACTCACTTCCTTGGCAACAAGTCAAAACAAACTCTGAAGGCTCTGGTCACCAGACACCTTAGTTTGGTGACAGTTGGCCTTCATATACCATGGGCTTGAGAGAGGGAATAGGGAACATGCTGTGCTGCTTTCCCAGGCCTCACAGCCCTAGCATCAAGACCCCGTGTCATTGAACCACGTGGGAAAGTATGAAAGGATGGTTCACTTGGCCCACAGGCGTCAGCAAGCTCACCTGGAAACACCCACCCATCATGGGCAGCTCAGGCCAGGACTCACCAGCCCCTGGCCAGAGGCTCCCAGAGACAAGAGGGAGCCCAGGAGTGGTGTCCTTAGGCTCACTCACCAGCCACTCAGAGACACTGAGTCCAGGACAAGTTCAGATACGGGGAAGGAAAGTTCTTACATGAGCAGCCCTGTGAAACTTGGCCACTTGTGCATTCAAATCATGGCCATGTGCAAACAACTCAGCCTCGGTTTACAACACTGAATGGTGGGGTGCTGAATGGATCCAGAGTGCAGGGTCACTGAGGAGGAAATGGGGGCTTCATGACAAGGGGATAGCTGTGGCCTTAGCCCACTGCAGAGGTTATGCTGATTCCCAGGGATGACCTTCCACACCCCTCACTGATCCACACTTGGTGAAAGCTGTTCTGTTCATTGGAAAGGAGGTTGGAGAGTCACTCTAGGGGGTTTGGGGTATGCTCAGGGCAGGAATTCTTGGGGATGGAAAAGTGTTCATGGCCCACAGGTATCATTGGAAAGTGGGTGGCTGTCATCAAGTCACCAATACACATGAGGACACCCTGTGTGAAGACACTTTTCTGGGTATTGTCCATGGTCCTGTAAGCAGAACAGGTACAGCCACTGCTCTTTTGAGTTTTGATGTTTTTGGAGGCCACAAAATCAGCATTGGCAGCAGAACAGACATTGTTCACCTCAAGGCAGTTTTTCTGGGTCCAGAGCCCTCTCTAGATGTTGGTACAGACCATGCAGGAGGAGTTCTATAGAGGCAAAGAGAAATGGGCAACAGGGTCAGGAAGGAGACAAGGCTTGCAACTCTTTCAACATACAGTACTCGAAGTTCTGGCCATAGAATTTAATCAAGAATAAGAAAGCAAAGCCTTCCAAATCAGAAAGGAAGAATTAAGTTTTCCTGAGGGTGCAGCATTGTATGTAGGAAATTTAAACTCCATTGACAACCTTATAGAACAAATTCACAAATCACTTAAATTGCAGGATATCCAAGCAACATTCCATAATCAGTTCATTACTATGTACTACAAACAATCTGTAGACTCAAGTACAAAGATCACAATTCATTTCACAAATCATCAAAAAGAACTAATGATTAGGATAAATTGAAGCAAACTCACCTCTTCTTGGAAAATTGTAGAAATTAATTAAATGAGTAGAAGAGCACTAACAGAAGAAAAGCCATACTGTGATGAGGGATGGGAAGAATTCATGTTATAATGTACAGGCTACCCAGAGCAACCAGGTGTTTCAGTGCCATTCCTGTCAAAATATCAGTGCCATTTTCCTAGAAACATAAAAAAAATATGAAAATTCACAAGGAAGTACAAAGAATCATCCTATAGCCACAAAAAGAACATTAAAAATAGAGGCATCAAAATACTAGTCTCCAGGTATTAAAAAGTAACAGCAGTCAACAGAGTTTTAAACTAGAAGAAAAGGACCACAGACTAAAACAGCTAGCACAGATGAAATCCAAGGCACATATTCACTAGGGATTTTATTTTCTTTCTTCTTTCCTTTCTTTTCTTTTCTTTCCATTTCTTTCCTTTCCTTTCCTTTCCTTTCCTTTCCTTTCCTTTCCTTCCCTTCCCTTTCCTTTCCTTTCTTTCCTTTTCTTCCCTATTCTTTTTCTTTTCCTGTTCAGGGTCTCCCTGTATCATTGTAGCCTGAACTGAACTCAGAGTGTGTTGCAGGCTTGTCTGGAACTCCCAGGAACCCTGCTGCCTCAGCCACTTGAGTACAGGCATTACAGGCATTTTCACCACTCCTTGCTCAGCCAATAAGTTTTTAATAACACTATGATGTGACCGGGTCTAGTGGTGTGGCTTATAATCATAGCAGTCTGGAAGGCTGAGTCAAGAGCATCACAAATTCAAGGTGAGTCTCAGCAATTTAACCATTTTTAAGGACCTGCCTCAAAACAAGAAAAGTGTTAAAAGGTGAAGGCAAAGAAGCCAATGCAAAGCTCTGTATTAAAAAAAAAACAACTTTGCAACTGACACCATGAGGGTAAATAATATTTTACACTGGCCTGACCTTCTGGAGAGGAGTGTGCCCCAAGTAGCTTTAACCGTCCCACCTTTCTTGCGATGAGACTTCAAACAATCATCAAATTCCATGAGGGATCAAATAAAAAAAGAATGTGCTTCAAAAACACCAATCTTCAGTTCCAGTGCACAAGGCATTTGGAGTGATCTTCTGAAGCACATGTTGACCACAGTTAGAAAAGCAGAAAATCTACTAACAGTGTTAATGGGATTTTCAGTCTTACTCACTGTGAAAGAAGATGCAGGCTAGGAAGATAGCAGACAGCTTAACTATAGTGACTCTTTCTACAAAGTGGCTGAAGACCAAAGCCAAACATTTTATTCCATGAATACACAACATTGCTACAAATTGCCAATCAGGATAATATACACCTGCACTCTGGGAGGGGGAGGAAGGATGAGGGCAATCTTAAGCCTAGCCTGGGACACTTAGAAAATTAGTAAGACGATGTCTTAAAATTTGTACAAAACCAAAGCATTTACATATGTATGAAAATGTTGATCATTAAGAAATCTCAGAAGTCACTGAGCAAGGAACATTAACCACAATTAATCTATACTTATCAATTTATAGATGTAAAAAGTGTATCTTTGTATGATTCTTATTATTATTTCAAAATTAAATTAGTAATCCCTTGCTCACATTCTGGTTCTAAATACAAATTTAGGACAGAAAAACAAAACAGAATGATCAAAATCTCTTCAACTACCCAAATCCTAAGAGGTTATATTCAGCAGCATATCTGCAGTCATCTAACTAAAAAGCATTAAAGAATTGAAAGACTACAAACACCAGGAAGCACATCAATGTCTCCATGATGGTAAACCTTATGCTAGGTGTGCTGACTAAACTACACATGCAAAAGAGCCTCACAAAGATTTGATTTCTCACTAGAAAGGTGATTTTTGACTTTTCATTTTATCATATTTTTTTTATCTCTTTCTTCTTTCCTTTTTTCTTCAGACAGAGTTTTGCCATACAGTTCTGTCTGGACTTGATCTTCCCTTGTACCCCAGGATAACCTCAAACTCACCAGAATCTTCCTGCCTCAGCCTTCGGAGTCCTGGAATGACAGATGTGCACCAACATTCCTGATTGTGTTTTCTTTTTTTAATTTTCTCCAAAACAAAAGTGCTCAGAGTTATGTGATATTCTCAAAGTTCATCAGGTTCGTTATACAAAATCAAATCAGAAAGCACTGAAAACACCCTGAAGGAGTTTCAAATCCTCACCAACATATAGCATAATATAACATAACAGAGCATAGCATAGTATAGCATAATAACACAAAACAAAATAAAAAAGGAACCACATAACTCTGCTTTAAACATCTGCTTCCAAAGATACAGTAAGAATTTCTAAGTTATCCATGCACCAGCAATATGATATATTTTCTTTGAAATAAAGGTCAGTATCCACTCAAATGCTTGTGTATGAATTGGTGTGGCAGCTTGCTTTCAAGGTCCAATCCGGAAACATAACAAATGGCTATCACAAGATGGGTGACAGGTGCATGAAAAGTCACATTTGCTTGGTTCAGCCCCATAATAGTGGGTGGTGGCAGCACAGGGAGAGCCCAGCATAGAAACACTGCTTCAAGGAGATCAATCAAAGAGTATTACAACTGAAAAGGTTCAGTGCCATCACCTCTAGGAGAAGAAAACTACCCATCAGGGACACAAAGCCCATGGTCTGATTGGGATGGGAGGAAAGGAAGTGATAGCAGCAGCTAAAAGACAAGTTCCCCAGGAGCGATGCACATGTGTCCTTCATCAGTACGAGGTGATGATGTCACCTCCCCTTGTACTCATTACCTGCTGTCCCCCCTCACAGGAAGTCAGGGTGTGGAGCACTACAGTGTATGGCTGAGTTAAACATCTAAGGATGAAAAAAATAATCATTCATAAGCACGTGAGAGTAAAACTGGCTATGAATCCTCCTCCCCTGAACATATGGGGGTTATGACATGAGACCTTCACATTCTTTGATAAAATTATTGTGGGTATTCTGCTCCCTAATGGAACTGAAATGAAACTAACATAAGCCCAGGAAAGGAAGTCATCCTAACATTTGACAAATCTTTAGCAGAAGACAATGAGTGCTTCATCCTCCAAAACAATGGACCCTTTGGATGGAAATTTGTTTTTGGCATCCAGCCTGAGACATCTGAAGCATCTACATGTTCACTGCATTAAAATCTTCAAAGTGCAGCAAAGTCTAAAAGTATACACAGTTTTCTAGCATTTTAACTTGTTTCTAAGTAGGACATAGATTTGTTCCACAAAAAAAAAAAAGGTGATATTACAGAGGAAGGCCAAACTGTGGACCCCAGTGCATGACCTCAGTTCCTTGAAGACAGGTCCAAACAGAACCTTGAAGGATCAGGTCACCAGGCACCTTGGTCTGGTGACAGTTGGTCTTCTCAGACAGTTGGCTCTAGAGAGTGAAAAGGGAGCATGTTATGCTGCTTTCCCAGGACATGAGACCCCAGCCTCAGGATCCCACATAGGTAGACCATGTGGGAATGACTGAAAAAATGGTTCACTCATCCCAGAGCCTTCAGGATGATTGCTGGCAAATGCCAAATAACAAGGGCAATAAAGGACAGGGCTCACTGTCCCCAGCCTTCTGGCACCCAGAGGCAGGAGGGAGCCCAGGACAGGTGTCACTAGACTCAGCCACCAGCCACTCAGACTCACGGATTCCAGCAGAGGTACATTAAAGCCTGGCCACCACTGTGAGTCCCCCTACACAATTCCTGCCCTAAGTCAACAGTGTGACTGGGTCTGATGAGATGCCCTGAGGACAGATCTTCCTGGGAAGGTGCAGGTCCTTAGAAGCTGTGAGGCTGGGCCACTGTCAGGTTCCCACCCAAGACAGGGCAGGTGGAGCAGAAGGGCAGCATCCCTGTTTAATCCACAGTTTCCAGATGCACCTTCTATCTTCCTGGGTAGAAATATGGGACAGAGCTGTCTGTGGTATAGAAATATAAGATTATCTGGGTTTACAAAGTGAAACCTCTGTTGTCTCAGAGCTTCAGAGCCTCTGGCTTCCTGCCAGAAGCTGTGCTCTGCCTCAGCAAAGTGGTATATAGGACACCAGTCAGGAGGCGGTCACTAGGCTGTGTGTTCCATGGCCTTGCAGCAGACTCTGGGACTCACAACAGGTGCTGGCATGCTCAGGCATAACGTGTGTGAGCAGAAAGGACTATAGAGACCCACAGATGACAGAGAGTATCTTCAGGTTAGTGCTTGCATGAAACTCTAACCAGGGTTACTGACCCTATGATTATCCATTGAAATTTTAAAAATCTTTTCGAAGGAAAGTAGAAAAAGAAACAGTTATGTATAGCTATGTTTCACTGCAGTACACTGACAGCACTGAACCCAGCAGACAATGTCATGAGGCTGGTGATATGCACATCACCACCTCAATAAGGCCAAAGTTTCTACAAATGCTGGAGGTAAAATATGGAAATACTTTAACAACAAAAACAGTTGAAATAAAATATCCTGAATATGCACTTAATATACCAAATCTAAACTAGGCCTGGTGGCTCTTTCATGAAGCCCAGTACTTGAGACACTGAGGAAGGAGAATTGTTTGACACCACTCTGGGTTATAATGTGACCTCAAAGCCAGCCTGAACTTCATAGCAACATGCTTCCACAAAAAGATAAATATATCAAATCTAATGAATATAATAGTGTACTAGTGATGGCCTTGTGATATTAGTATGACTATCATATTTATACTGACCTGTAGTCTACTAGGAAAACCTAAGATACAGCCCACTTCACAATAACATATCACACCATTTATCAAATGGAGTACACTAGTGAGTATTTATTGTTCGTCATTGATATTTGGTGGTGATGGAGCAGTGCTTGCTGCTGCTCTCCACAGAAAAATGACTATTGCTGCAGTAACAGGAATCTGCATGCATCACTGCAATATGTCCTTAACTCTTTGAGGAAGAGGCCCACTAAAGGAAGCACTGCACTAATGAGAATTACTAATTTTAGTCTTTTGAATACTTTAAAAACTGACTTCAGTAGTAGTTGAACTACTTACCTACATTTTCACCAACAAGATTAAATAGTTCCTTTTCTCCTGTAGTCCCATGAATGTTCTTTAGACCTTGTGGTGATTTGTTTTCTCTGCAATGAGATGTCCCTATTTGCATTTCTCTGTTGTGCAAAAATGCTTAATAGTTCTTCAGGTATCTGAAAAATGTGTGTTCCTTTCATGTTCCTATTGGTTTTACATGTTAGCTGTCAGGGAGTAACAGGCAAAATGTCTCTCTTTCTGTAGTTTATTTCTTCATCCTTTTGGTTTGACTTTTTGTGGCTTCTATGTTTATGCAGGAGGATTAAAATCTTACAAAGCCCTTTTTGCTTGTTTTGTCACCCTATCTTATTTTCTACACAAAACAGAAGCAATGGCATTAAGAAAAAATGTTTTTAATACCTCTTCATTCAGAACATGGAATGCCTGGCTCTTTCATGTTTCACTATGTTTTAGTCTAATAGAAGCATATATGAGACTGCTGCACAAATTACCACAAAAAGTACATTTCCTGAGTGATAGAAAAATCACAATTTGCAGTAGTGATTCTTTTATCCTATCATACATTTGTATTCTTGACTTCAACTTCCTTGTTTCCTTAAACTTCAAATGCAGGGATAAAAACAACTGCTTCACCCTCTGCTGAATCATTTAGCCATTGCCTCCCAAAGTCAGCTTGAAAGCCATGATCTTAACATCTCATTCTCTCCTGATGCTGGAACAAAAGAAATCACCGTTAGCCAATCTTTACAGTAACTCCTTACCAATGCAATTATTTAATTACAAAATGATCAAAAATTGCATAATTTTTGCTAGTTTTTATAAAATAACAAGGAATATAAAAGTGACAATTTTACTGTATTCAATACAAGAATTAATGGGTTAAATTGACAATTGCCCCAATGATGCTCAGGATGGTCACACATAAACAAATGTGCTTCCCAAGTGATTCTCGGGGATAACTGCTAGGTTCCCAAGTGATAAAAGGACAACTACTGATGTTTAATTGTGAGTATTAGAAAATGTTGATGCTGGGGAAGAAAGGGAGGAGATCTAAAGCATTAAGCTACATCTGCAGAACTTGAAGATCTATTTTGAGACAAGGTCACACTAATTGTGTAGGTTGGACTCAACTTCCTCTTCCACTAATTTAAGCTCCGTTAGGTACTAGGATTGCAAGCATGAATCAACAGGGCCTGCAAGATTTACTTCATGGTAAAATGAGAAAGTGCATGTACTCAGAATATATGTCTTATAGATTCAGTATTCTATTATTAGTTGTAGTACAAACTCCAAATTTTCCCATTTATGGTAAGCAGAAATGTGCTTAGCATCTGGCCACATGCTTTAGTGCACAGAGGCTGAAAATGCACTTCACAGTGTCTTTTACTTTGTGAAGTATATCAAGTTCTTCAGGTACAAAATAGACATAGATTTAGTGGTGATTATACAACAGGTGAGTAATTTATTTTCCCAAGGATAATTGAGACTTGGGCAAGCTATCTTCACTGGATTAGGGGTATGTAATGCAATGTACACTTGTATTTTCATGACCCCACAGTTTTTAACAACATAATTCCATTGGAACCTAAGCAGATTTTGTATTCAACAACACTGCATTAAACACTTTACAAATTATATGAATGTTAAAATGGAAGTGAAAACCACAGGCCACAGGAAACCAACTGGGACTCATGGCCCAGTGAATGTGTTTAAAGATAATCACCACAAACATCAGACCCTGGTCCTTATAAATAAAGAGATATGCCATTGTATAAATTCACAAGTCAGTAAAACAGAACACAATCTTAATCTTAATTTAGCAAGTTTACTTTTTACTGTGTTGACAGCTCAAAATTTAGGTTTCCCTTCATGCCATTACTTCAGTGTTTTAGGAAAAAGCAGTTATAATTACAAAATATTTAATGCATTCACAGCATCAAGGAATAAAATAAAGGCATTTGCATAATACATCCAATAACAACCTTTTCCCCCAAAAGAACTCCACATTTAAGAAAAATTGATTTCAAAGTATGGTTACTCATAAATCATGCCAAATTTTATAATTTCTGGAGATATTACTATATTTTGTGGTGTGCTATTGGAGACAAGTTATGGTTCTGTCACTATGGAGCAATCAGAAATTCACAGTAGTATAGTTTACATTTGGTATTTGTGGGGAAACCTTATTAGCAAATAAAGATGTAATATAAACATAACAAGTAATATTCTGATGGTAAGAAAAACAAAGGTTTACTTAAATGACAAATATTGGTTCCACTGAGAAACAAAATCAGGCAACATAATTTACATGGTATGATATCCAGTGATGTTAGGAAATCAGCAGATGTCTTGTCACAACTTGGAAAACATAACATTCATTAATGTACAAGTTATGTGAAAAGAACACCACTTTGTCAAAAACACATACTCCCAAGCCTCTACAAATGTATATCTTAATGCCAAATATTGCATCAACTTCAGAAACATCATTTATGAAAGAGAAAATGAAGCAGGTGCATCAAAAGATTAAAACAATGCCATGTTAAAATTACAATTGCCAAAAAAAGAGACTAGAGTAATATCACTCTGAACAATGAATAATAGTATTGTTCAATTTTATATCATAATGCTACAGAATTAGCATTGGGTTTCTTAGTGTCACTTCTTCTTCAGAGTATCTGTTCATCATATCGTGTATTCTATTATTTGTTCCAATAAATAGATTAGAAATTCTTCCCAGGTGTGAATCTCTGTGTGTATATCTATCCTTTCTGTATTATGGGGAAAAACAGATCGAAACAAGACAACAAAACAAATTCCTAGAAAATCATGATATGAAAAAGACATATAAGACCACAATATTAGGTGATGTACAGTACTTACTATGCTTTCTCTTGTTGTTTTCAATAGAATTGTCCACATCATCAGGCACTATATAGTTAAGCATAACATTACATAGCTACTTTTATAAAAACACTACTTTGAAGACATTGTAGGATGTGAGAGATGTTAAGAATCAAACCTGGGGTAGATCCCATGGTTTCCTGCCGGGACCAGCAAGTTGGGTTGAGGCACAAAATCCCATCCCAGTCTGGGGGAACTCCCCTACTCACTGGAGGACTAGCCTGGGGTTTCCTGCCAGGACCAGCTAGTCAGGCCTAAGCACGGAGTCCTGTCCATCTGGGGGAACTCCCTTCCTCACCTGGGGACCAGCTCATAGTTTCCTGCTGGGACCAGTGAGTCAGGACCAGTGAGTGGGGCCGCAACATGGAATCCTGTCCCAGTCTGGGGGAACTCTCTTCCTTGCCTGGGAACCAGCCTGCAGTTCCCTGCTAGGACCAAAGAGTAGGGCCAAGGCACAGAATCCTGTCCCAGTCTGGGGGAACAGTCTTCCTTGCCTGGGCCCCAACCCATGGTTTTCTGCCGTGACCAGTGAGTGGGGCCGTGACATGGAATCCCGTCCCATTCTTGAGAACTCTCTTCCTTGCCTGGGGACCAGCCTGAGGTTTCCTGCCATGACCAGCGACTTGGGCTGAGGCACAGAATCCCATCCCAGTCTGTGGGAACTCTCTCCATCACTTGGAACAACACTTGCAGCTCAAAAATACAGGAAAATGACAAAATGAAAGACCAAAATGCAGTCTCAAACATCCAGCCCATTCCAAGAAAGTCTAGGAGCCATGTGCATAGAAGAAAACACATCCCACATACCTGAAGTACCTGAAATAATAGAACTGAAATAAAGAAGCAGCTCTGGGAACCCTTAAAGGAATTCAAACTAGAAATAATCTCTCAGGTAAAAGAAGAAATGATAAAAGAAATGCAGGAGATGCTGAAAATATCTAAAGAAAACAGTTAAAAAACTGGAGGAACTAAACAAAAAGAATCCCTGGATGAACACTATAAGGAACAAACAGAATACATAAAGCAGATTAAAAAGAGATATACAGGAAATAAAAAAACTCCATTGAGAGTTGTAAAAAGTGCCTCAATGAATGTGAAGATATAATCTCAGACCTCAAAGACAAGATGCAGCCAGTGAACAGGAAAGGAAAAATCTTTTAAAAATAACAATAAATCAGGAAATAACAATTCAACACCTGCAAGATGATGCATAGGGATAAATGAAAAAGAAGAAGACAGCATAAAGGATGTTAAGAGGATTTTTAGAGAAGTGATAGCTGAAAATTTCCCAAACACGAGATTGGAAAGTGATATGAAGATCAATGAAGCATATAGAGCTCCAAATAGCCATAACCAAAATAAATCTACACCCAGACATATAACAATGACCATCACAGAAATTGAACAAAAGAATAGAATATTAAAAGCTGTCAGAGAGAAGAGACAGATCACCTATAAAGGAAAATCTATCAGAATCACAGTAGACTTCTCAGCACAAACAATAAAGTCAAAAAGGGCATGAAGTCAAGTATTTCAGATTCTAAAGGAAAATGATTTCCAACCTAGGCTGATGTACCCTCCAGAACTGTCCTTCAAAATTGATGGAGAAATTAGATACTTCCATGACAAAGAACAGCTCAATATTTCATGATCACCAAGTCAACCCTGCAAAGAATACTGAAAAAAGTCTAGATACATTTAGGAAAAAACCACTAAACAAAGCAGAAAATTAAACACAGCAGAGAGATAAAGACGCAACAGCAGAAACATAACATGTCAACAATAAACCAATATATAACAGTTCTAACCATTAATGTAAATGGTCTCAATGCACCAATTAAAAGAAACAGACTATCAGAATGGATCAAAAAACAAAATCCAGGGGGTGCGGATGTAGCTCAGCGGCATAAGCATCTGCCTTGCAAGCAGGCAGTCGTGAGTTCAATCCCCGGTACCGGAAAAAAAAGAAAAAAAAATCCAAACATAAGCTGTCTACAACAAACCCATCTAAGCCAAAAGGATACTCACAGACTGAAAGTCGAAGGATGGAAAACAATACTCCATGCAACAGGAATCAAAAAAAAAAAAAAAAAAAAAAAAGCAGGTATAGCTATTCAGTTTGCAGACAATATGAACTTCAAGCCAGTAATGATCAGAAGGGATAAAGGAGGTCACTACATACTGATTAGATGAAAACTCCAAGAGGAAGGGATTATTATCTTAAATATATATGAACCAAACTCCAGAGCACACAGTTATATAAAATAAGTACTAACAGAAATGAAAAACCTAATTAGCAGTAACACAATTGTAACAGGAGACCTTGACACACAGTTGACACCAATGGACAGA